TAAGTTCGCAACAAGCAAGTTATTTTGATTCAGTTCATTAAGAATGTCTCTAACATCTTTGGCAGCTTTCCCTTGCACTTGAAGCGTCTTGGTGTTTCGGTAGAAGTTAAGTGTTACATTTGATGGCTTTAGGATAACACTAGAGCTGTTGTATGACTTCTTTGTCTTGAAATCGCTGTAGCCATCATCGATCAGCCGCAAAAGTTTTGTATCGACAAAACTTTCAAGCTCTTCAAGGGTTCCATTCCAGCTAAACCTTTGCTAATGAGCGTTGTATGATAAGTGCTGTTCGAATTCAGAGGAATTCTCTTCGTAGTGCAAGTTAGAGGACGGGTCAGAAACGTTTGAGGCGGAGCTCCTGTCAGTGTGTCCATCCGCCATGTTGCTTGTTTTGCTTGTCCCTAGTCTCTTGTAAGGAGCTTAAACAAAGAAGCCCATTATTTCATCGTTTATGCGTACGCTTTTTCCGCTGATCTGGGGTAGTCATGCATGTGAATGGACTATTAAAGCTGGGCTGAGTAACATGCAGCCAAACTGAGTCAAAGCTTGACATTGTAGTGAATAAGCGACTATGCTATGATTGCGTTCAGCTGATGTGAACGAACAAGCTACAAAAATATGAGTAAAAAAATAGGTAACGGTCTCGAATGAAAACAATAAGATGGCAGATAAAATGATAAAAATTTTAAACGCAGCTTGGTCTGAAATTCAAAAGATAAGCGAAACGAGGATAAGAGCCAAGCCAAGTTTTTCCTCTGCCAGTTCTTCCGGCAAAACAGATACAGCGCAGTAAATACAGCAAGTTCTCTACCACCTCTACAAGTTCACTCAGAGACCTTTTAGACAGATTATGTTCCCCTACAGCCTGAATTATACTTAATTATGATCAACATACAAATTGGCTGCGAAACCAGATACATAGCTTCATCAACTCGCAAATTTCTTGCCATCATAATGAGGACACGACTTTGTGAGCTAGGCAAACCCTCTATATTCAACGTCTCTTTTTTTAACTGGATTGACAGTATTTATTCCGATGTTCGGAGCCCAAGAATAGGGAGAGTTCCATCGTATCGTGTCATTGAATTAAGAAGAATAAGAATTTCAACATCATTTTACCAAAACTCTTGGTAGCCCAATATCCAATCCCTTTCGATCGACTCCCGCCACGTACCTCATGACTTGACCCGATATAGCTACAAGTTTTTCGATTATTTTTTATTCTCAGTTGCTCGAGACGCGAACACATAACTTGACGTCTACTGTTTCAAACATTATTTTTTTTAAGTGTTGATATGGTCTAAAAGTATCGTTCAAGAGAATACTTTGATATCAAAAGAGTACAATTTCAAAATTGTCAACACAAAGCTCACGAAATTTTTTGGCCGTGTATTCTAGTAAACAACAATTTAAGCATGGTAAATCTACACACGGGTCTTGTACTTGCAAAACAATCGTTCGTTTTTCGCTTCTAAGCAGCAGACTCATGTCTTTGAATAACATTTTTTTTGTAAGCTAGCTTCTTGCGTAAGCCGCAAACAATCCGTAATACTGTTAGTTTACACAAGTGGTTTTGCGTCTTATCCAAGCTGCGGCTTATTTAGAACTGCTAAAAAAAAACCCTGGCCTTACATAAGTCGCGGCTTGTAACAGTAAAAATGCACTGATTAAAGAATGTATGCACGGCCGTGCGTACATAGAGATTTACACCATGGTAACTCTTTAAGAATTAAGTAAGATTTGCGCCTGCGATAACTTATATTTAAAGTAAAAAACCAAACTTTTTAATCTTTTTACAGGCTTATAAACCACGCGAGATGTTGGGAGAACACAATAAAACTTTGTAAACCACGAGGTACAGCCGAATGGTTTACCGGCAAACGTTTCTCGGCGAGTAGTTTCGGGAATTCTAGACGACTGTTTCTGAAGTTCTTTCAAGTTAACCGCGCGGCGAAAACTAAAGGCTTAAAAATGGAGCAAAAAGGTATTTCAACTGTACTTTAAGTAAAAAATTTAAGGATTTTGGAAAAATAAAATCGTTTCCGTTGCTTTTGGTGTTCAAAGTTCCCTCTTCGTTTCCTCCGAACCAAATTAAAATCTGGGAATTCGCCCCGTGTGGCGCCATTCACAGGACGGGAAGGTGTTTCAGTTTTCTATGGGTATGCAGGCAAATATGCAATAGATTTTTGACCAATCAGAGAGCACGATGTGTCTAAGTTATCAATAACACTCTTTCACTGAACCCACTTACGTCACCAATCACTGATATGTTATGTCTGGAAACAACTGTGGCGATATACATGTAAATAACATAACAATGATACTAATAATTTAGTATTTAGAAAACTCAATGATCTTACATTACTATAAAGAAGAATAGTAATATATCAGTTCATACCTATAAAATATTTCTCATAACAGTAATAAATAAAATAGAGGAAATAATTAATTGAGAATTAGTTGATATAAAAGCTAGCTACAGTTCCTCATAAAATAAATCAAGAATAAAATTTCCGAAACAAGAATGTTTTTAGGGCAGATTTCAAAGATGAAAGAGATATTGTATTTTTTAACAGAATCCGGTGGACTGTTCCAATACTTGTGCGGAGAAAGAAAAGGCACGTTCACCATATGTGACAAAGTTCACAGTAGAGACAGTGAAAAGTAGTTTTGTGGATGAAAGTAGTCTTCGTTGTGGGTGGTATTGTTGTAGGAGAGACGACAAGTAAGCTGGAAAATGACCGTGGATAATCTTGAAAGTGATGAGCAAAACTTTGAATATCATCCGTGACTCAACAGGTAGCCAGTGTAGTTCCCGGACGTAGCAGACATATCACTGATA